GATTTTATTTCTTTCCGAAGCAATATTATATTCCATATTAGTTTGATCATAATTCTAATCTCATCGTAAAAAAGATATGTGTTACTAGTTAAAATAACAGCAGAGTTATGTATTTTCCCCCACTACCACCAAAGAAGAAAAGAGAAAAAAATAACAGACAAAGAAGTAGAATTAGCAAAAATATCATTCCATAACTTCATGTAGACATTGCTATTGGATTCCTCCTATATAAAAGGTAGGGACACATCTCATTTCTATTGTAAGAGAAATTAAGAGAAATAAGTTGCAAAAAATTCTCAGACATGAGTTACTCTTTGAGAAAGATGTTTGTAATATTACTTGTGTTATCACTCTATTCTGCACAAGCAACGAATGCCAAAAAAATTATCTTTCCAAACGAGGCATGATTTAACTTGAAAATTGAGGTTAAGACTGAAGTCTTGAAAATTGGAGATTGAGAGATTGAGTGTTGTTGTAAGTATGCCTATAGCACTAGTGTTACTAGAAGCATTATCCATAGAAATTGTCATTATTTTATCTCTAATGCAAAAATATCTACAAATATCTGCAATAGTGTTAGCAATAAACTTACCTGTGTGACGTGAATTAATTATTCTATAAGCAATAATGCGTTTTTGCATTATCCACTCCTCATCTATCTAATGACTTGTAACAGTTAGATAATCACAGTCATTATTACTTCTACCAATATCAGTAGTAATAGAAATCCGATTAGTTATATGAGTAAATAAATACCGCAAATATTGTTCATATTCATGTTTATATTTATAAATATCGCTCTTAACTGTTGTGCGAGGCCAACCTTTATAAGTAGGATTAAAAACTTTTCTAATATAATGCACAAAATTAGGGTTAGAAGGAAAAGTATAGGGTAAGCACATAACGGTAACCATCTTTGCTAATTCTTCACGATCTTTATTAGGATCGTAATATATAATACCACCGGTCACAGTGTTAATTCCTGGTTGAACTAGATTTAAACCTGTACTAGGGTTAACCGCAGTATCTACACTTGTCCCCTCTTGCTGCGCTTTCATTTGTAAATATTTAACTTTATCTCTAGGGTGTGTTTGTATGTGCCTAGCCAAACTACCCGTACCGCTACGGTCTCCAGTATATTTATGCGCCAGCAATTTCCCACAAGTTTTACACTTAGCCTTATTTTGTTCTCTTACTTGAGTAAAAAAATTCCAAACTATTGATGTTTCTAGGCGTTTAGAAAGTTGTCTATTAAAAGTAGGGGTTTCTACAGGTGGGTCGGGCGGGGCATCAGTTGGGTTATTAACAGGACTAGTAGGTGTATCATCTAAATCCGGTTGGGTTTCATCTACATCCTCATTTTCCTCATCATTTTCTAAGATAGTTTGATTAGGATAAAGAGCATTCATAACTTCTTCATTTAATTGTTCACCTGGTGCAACATTATGGCAAAATTCACTATCGGAAAATTGAAAACAAGGGTTATCACTATCAAGAATAATAGTAGCAGCAGGACGGGTAACAAGTCTGGATCGGGGAGCTAGGGGAAGGGTAGTAGGTTGGAGACTACTTTCATCAATTTTAGCTTTTCCCTTACCACCAAACCTTTTTTTCAAAGAAAATGCCATATTAATTACAATTATGCAAACTAAACACACAAAAATATATTCTTAAAAGTTAAGAGTTGGAACGAGTTTACCGAATTGCCGAACAACTTCATGAAAATTGAAAATCGTTGAAGACTTGAAGACTTGAATACTTCAATTCACCAACTTTACAATTTTTCACGAAATTGCAATAATAAAATAAGCAATTATAGAAGAGAAATTAGATATAGATTGAGAGAGATTGAGAGAGATTGATGAATTGGTGAGTAAAAATGAAAGAATGAGGGGGTATTTATAGTTGAGAATTGGGAAAAAGTGTAATTATATAAAGTTTGGGTTAAAATAATGTTTGGGGGCCAAATGTCTATTTTTTAAAGTGGCCAACGGATAAATTATGAAGGCCAACGGCTAGATTTTAAAAATCTGACCGTTGGTCTTTCTTTTTAAAAAAAAAAAATTTAAAAAATAGCCGTTGGAGCCCGTTAGGCCCGGTTGAACCGGCCCAGGCCTGCCTGCCGGTCTCGAGCTTAGCGGTCCCGGGCTCGTGGGCTTATAGAAGAGAACCGGCTCGCGACGGGCCTCCTGCACCATTGGGGACCGGCCCACCAGGACCGGCCCGCTAGGACCGTTTAGCCCGTTAAGACCGCGGGCCCGGTCCGGTCCCGATCCCAGCCCGGCCCACCATACAGCATTATATGGTGGTATAGGTGGCGTACCAGAAAGACAAGATGAAGGAGAAAGTAGAAAAAATCAAAACTGAAAGAAATTACTCATTTTTTAATTTTTTTTATTGATATTTGTGGGACTCATTTCAACTTTTTTTGTCACCACTCTCTTTGAGGAGGAGGTGTAATACACACACTATGCCATATCAGCGATATGTGTTTGATAGGTACACTTTATAAATGTTGGAGTGCCTAATAGGAACAATCTTGGTTGACGTGTCTAAGTGAAATTTGATGCAAGTTTAGGTACCTGCCAATGTATTTGGCCTTTAGAAAATATAACAAATCTGATCATACGAATTACAGACAGTGGCGGATCCACCCTTCAAGGTGGGGGTGGCATTACACCCACTAAATTCGTAAAATTTTTATATAGATATGTTAAAATTATCTTAAACAAGGTTAAATATTTAATTTTGCCATTCGCAATCTCAAACTAGACAAAGGTGTCACGGCTGAGAAGATGTCTTGCAAGCTTTTTTTGCGTGTAAGGCTCATTTTCCAAGATAAATATTTACTCCACACACTAACACAACAAATAGACAAACATGGTTACTATTAATATGATCAATAAATATACATTATCACATTAATTTGTCACTTAACCATGATAAATTATTACGAGTTAATGTAAATACCCGTTGTGATAAATATAAGTATTGTCCATAATCTTAAATATTTGAGTTTCCTTCTTTCAAAATTGAAAAACTTGGTCTAGATGAGGATTTTAGATTCAGATCAAATTTTAATTTTTATAATTTTTTTTTATTATATCATAAATTTTTGTGCTTTTCTATGGTTGTATTTAATCTAAATCTTTGAGTTATAATGAAAAGGTCGTTATCATTGCACAGAGAAAACAGAACTTTATGGTTTGATTTTGGGGCCTGTAGTTTATCTAGTTCTATATTTACTTATGGGGTGTAATTTAGCTATTGAAGATTTTTTTTTTCTTTTTTTCTAATTCTGAATTCGTGTAGTTCCCTTATCAAAGATTTATTTTACTTGTGCAAATTTTTTAATAGAGAGGGTATGATTCTCTAACAAAAAAATATTACTATTAATTTTACTTGTGAAAATTTATGTTTAATATATAGGAAAGGATGCCATTCCCCTAGTGAAAATATTATTTTTACTTGCGTTGTTAGTAATAAAGATGTGATTTCTTGTTGAAAATATTGATTCTGTTTGTTTCTTGATATAACCATCTCCAATGGTACTCTATTTTTTGCACCAAATCCAAATTTGGTGCAAGAAATAGAGTAAAATTGCTCCAATGGTACTCCATTTGTTGCTCTATTATAGAGCATGAATAGTGTTGCACCAAATTTGGTGCAACACTATTTATTACTCTATATTTGGTTTAATAATATTTTATTCATTTTTTTTATTGTTGAACTTTTAATTAATTATATATTGTGTATATAATTAACTTTTATATTAAGATTTTTATAATTTTAATTTTATATCCTATTTTTTGATATATTAATTTTTGTATATATTATATTTATATAAAATTATAAGTTAATTTTATTATTGTTATAATTGTATAAATTAAATTTGACTATGATGTAATATTTATTTAATTATATTTTATTAATGATTTCACTTTTTGTTAATTTATCCTTTATGTAAAATTTTGTAATAAATGATTATATAAGTGGTGAATGTGAATTATATATAATGAATATGGAAAAAAGAAAAAAGATAGTATTAGTTTGAAGGAAATAAAAAATGAAAAGTAAATAGAAGATAATAATATAATATAGAAGAGAGAGAAAATTTGGTGTAAAAAATAGTGTGATTGTTGGAGTAGATTTGGTGTTGCACCATTTTAGAGTGAAAAATGGTGCAAAAAATAGAGTGATTGTTGGAGATGCCCTTAAGAGAAGTATTTTCATATTTGCAAATCAAAAACCTATTAAATTGATCTGAATAAAATCAGAAGAGACCGAATCAAACCAGATATGTGTTTCTAAAAAATTTATAGTCAAAACAAGGTATACATTAAAAGAAATGTGGCGCCCGCCACTTCAATTCCTAAATCCGCCTTTGATTACAGATTTTGAGTAACACCAGTACTGCGACTTCTATGCTGGTTTCATGATGGCATTTCATAAAGAAGATTGCGATCCAATAGACATAAAAAATTTCCTGATTAGATCTTAATTACTATATTATGAATAATTTGAAACACTACAAATAATTTATTTTTTTTGGGATTCGTCTCTAATCACAATGGATCGAAGCCCTCCTTTTCCTTCCAATTAGTGAGAGTCTACAAGCCCTCCCTTTATTACTCGGAATTGAGCGGGCAACAAGAACTAGAATCAAATCTTCCCATGTAGTCGGTATTCTAGAAGCAAAACTTCCCGATCACTTGCCTCCTTGTGTGAAAATGCTTTTCATGATCTCCAGCTCTTTCCCACCATCTCGTTCTTTACCAAGCATCTAGGCAAACCTGCCAGGTTAATTAACTCAACGTAAAGAAAGCTCATTTGGTCAAAACTAGGGGAGCGCTTACTAATATTGAGAGATTAACATCTCTCCGCCCTCGTCGGTCAACTAGAGTATAAAAACAACATTGAATAACATTTCTCGTTTTTCATTTTTAGGGTACATTGGGGGAGCAACTTCATCAATGACACCATCAGAAATTCAAACAAAAGAAGGTAAAAATAAAAAGTTGAAGAAGCAACGATTACTCAAATGCAAATACGTTTTGACATACTTTCTAATGTACAACATTTTAATTGTGTAAGCACAAGTTACAAAGGAACTTGCTGAGAGCAGGTCTTACAACTCTTTTTAAGTAACACACTCTTCTCCTAGCAATCTACATCTGGAAATAAGACTAAGTACGCCGCTTCCTATCATCATCTTCCTCTTCATCAGAATCACCACTCTCACGGAAACGTGGATTCTTCTCCTGCAGCAAAAGAAAATGTCACATTGCAATAACAAATTTCACTCAAACCGAAGAGGGGACAAAAATTAGAGATAAAAGATTTGAAGCTCAAAGTCTTATTCGTTGAATCACAAGCTAAAATGAGGAAACCTCTTTCTTTGATATCCATACAAAGTTACAAACTTTGTTTCATTGTTCAATTTTACATTATTTCAATTTAAATGGTGGCGAGCACAGACTACATATGAAAAGATGGAACAGGACATGCTGGTGAAAAAGACCAAAGCAATAAATGATGTAGCTTAGGTATAAAAGAGAATACCGGTCTAGATTCATGATCAGAGGTTCTTCGAGATTCACGGTCATAACTCCTCTTTGGATAATCTGACCGATGGTGGTCATCTTCCCTGTGTCGCTTGCGCTGATAGTCTGTTTTCCTCATAAGATAGAGTTGTTTGTTAAATCTACTATACTGAAACAACATACTGAAAAATACAATGTTGTAGACATTAGAACTGAATCAAAATCTTGGAAAAGCATACCTCTACCCTGCCGATAAGAACCTCCATGACCATGATTTCCACCATGTCCACCATCTGCAATTTTTATTGTATCAGTCATCGCCATAGACACAGTAAAAGGTCTATAGGTGTACCACATTTATTATCGTGTACCACATTTATTATCGTATCATATTGCAAAACCTAAGCATAACCAAGTTTGAGCATGGCAGATATATTGTGATGATGTGAAGTTATTGGAAGTGCAAGAAAAACTCAGTTGAGCTTGAAGGCCCAGTGAATCAGCTATTTAAAGCTTAATTTGAAATCCTAAAGGGGTTGTTTCAATCTTGTCCTTCAAATTTTTCCTAGTTAGAGAAATCTCAAGTGTTTCCTTATTAGAACTGATTTTCAATATATTAATGAAACACAGCAATAATTTGGAAGCAGAACAGTTTAAATATAGGGAAGAATACGGCTGGCTCAAAATTTAGAACTGGAACAAAACCAAAATCGTCAACATCCAGAAGTTGACATTCAACCAGTGCTCAAACTTATACAATTCTTCTAGTCATACTAATTCTTCTATACATTATGCTTCCAGCATTAGTTGATATCAGAACCCATTCCTCTACAGCTTAGTAATAACCCATTAAATAAAAGGCACATATATTCAAACTAGTGAGGTGTCATGCAACAAATAGACAGGTTCTGGAATCAACATTGACACAAGCAGATAATAACAACTCAGAAGAACTTCACCAGCAATCCAAACCAACTACTAATAAACACTAGCTTTACTTATAGGAGTCAGTTGTACCCCCAGCTAAAATCAAAAGTTTTCTACTGCATTAAAGCACACACGAGTCCTGGGGTAGTAAAATCTAAATCTACAGTTAAGAGGCGCTTAAAGTTGAACCTTAAATCAAAGGCACTAACATTTCCTTTTTTTTAGGGACAAAAAAAAGAAGATGATGAAAAATAATTGCACTCTTTACATTTCACATTCCACATATTATCAAATTAATTTGAGAGAATGAAGCTCTTTGCTAAGACGCAAGAAAGAGTCAATATTATCAAAGAAACAACTGATGACGAAGTTAAGAGCCCTTAAACTTACAGCGAGGTGGCGGCATAGCTGGTGGGTAAGCGCCCAATGATCCTGTGCCATAATCCACTAGCTGTCTCTGTGCTTCCAATTCCTTTTGGACCAATTTTCCATAACCACCTCGACGTATAACTAGTTAAGGTATTAAAAGACAGTCCAAAATTCTTAAATATAAATGGAGAAAGAAAGGAAAGAATGACTTTTTAAACCCTGTTGCTTGGACTATCATGCAAGAGTTTCAACCATTCGACAGATAAGGTGATGAAAACTCACTTAATTGATTCTGTGCACATTCATGGGTTAGACCATAAGTCTTTCTTTGAACTAAACCATAATTCTTAAAACGCATACATTAGAAAACCAAGTAAGCAATATCAACCATCTTTCCTATCCTTGATTAACATATCTATGAGCCAATATTCACCTCCACAAAAGGATGGTCACTTGCTCTAAAAAGTGTACTGCTCTACCAAATAGAATTTCTGATTCTTCATAAACAATTCATGACAAAAGAATAAGTGAATATCTACATCGAGGTATTTCCTTGTAACATAAACAACAAAGAAAAGCTTGTTAAAACTTTGCAATCATTCCATTGGCGACAAGATGAAACACGTCTTTCATCAAGTTGATTATCCTACAACCACAGCGGAAGGATGTAGAAAATTGAAGCTTTTGAGACCACTAGGTTCATTCCCTCAAAGCAAAACACAATTAAAGAAAATTCAAGGTCACTAAGTCCTTGAGAGAGATTGCTCTAGAATCATATGATCACAAGAGGTTAAAAGCTTTTGTTTTATCCACTACCCTATTTACTAACTAGATCCAGAGGGTTGTGGTTCTTGTAGATGATGACAGAACCTAAAAGGACAACTAGATGCTGATGAGCCAGTCTTTTGATGCCCCACAGCTACTTCTAGGTAAGTGCTTACTGAAACAAATACTATAGAAATACTTCCTAAGAGGCACTTGAGTAACCTATGATGCAGCATCAACAAAGAATAACCAAAACTCAAGCATCATTGTGTATAGAGGAATAATTTACGCAATTACACATATTACCTTGTGAAGTACCACTTTAGTTACACTCGCCATATAGCCAAGTTACACACATATCTACATAATAATGTTTGTAACAAGTACGTATATACATAATATTAGAACGTGTAAGAAATTAACCTATAACCTATTTCTCAGTTGGCATAAATCTTTTAAGATAAAAGCATACCAAGTTTTAACAGATTCTTCTTTTTCTAAATCAAAAGTATACCAAGTTTTAACAGATTTTTACACACACTTGCCTGCTTATTTGCTGACAATCGTAGAAAGCATTTGCAGAAACTTCACAACTTAAAAGTACTTAGTTAGACATCCTTCATCATAACATGAACTATCTTTGATTAACTTTGTCCTAATAGTTCCATACCCTTTTTAATTGCAACGTTCATCAACTTTGCCCATGATAGGACCAAAACATTTTTTTCCCTGAAATAGAAAAGAAATAGCTAAAAGAAATGAAAGAAAATCGTTAACGCATGCTTATAAATTCAAGAAGGATATCTGGATCGTAGTCGGTACGATATTCGTCGCGCACCTGGGAAAAAAGATGTAAGTCAGATGAAATGCTGGCATGAATCTCAAGATAAAAGAATGAAACCGCTGAGGAGATTACCTGTCCACCACTCCTACCACGGCCCCATTGTCTACCTTCTTGAAATCCCCAATCAAAATCCACACGAATAGGGCGATCATCAAGAATTGTCCCACTGATATATTTGACAGAATCTTCAGTGTCGTCCCTAGAGTAGAACCTGAAATAAGTTTTATAGTTGTTACAAACGCAAATGATATTCCCATGCCTTCTTTTTTTGTTCTTCGCCTTTTTTCCCTTGAACAGGAAAAGGGTTGAACGGGAGATAAATGCAAAAGTATACATGTAAAATGTAACAAACTACAACGCACACCTAATACCATCTTGGTGTTTATAATAGAATTTACTTCAGCTGTCAAAAAAAAATGAGCAAATAGGTGTTTGCATATAACTGCAAAAACAGTAACAGCACTAAAGAGACAAAAGCTCGTGATGCACTCCTTCCATTCCATTTCCATTGATCTACTATTTCCATGTACACATTCCAAAATTCAGGTCTTTCCTAATGGCAATTTTTACCCCGGCATAGATATATACTACTTATTATTTGAACTCCTTGCCATCAAACCTAATATAGTCATTCAAACATTTGTTAATAAATTTTGCCAGTGTCAACCCAAGTCAACTAAAATGGCAGAAAGGGAGTACATCAATACAAATTCTACTAGCAAAAGAAATGCAGACCTAAAAGTGGCAAAGTTTGACATGCTCGGAACAGAGCAACAAGACAGAGAATGCAAGAAACAAATATTACTTCCCAAATAGATATCACTGACCACCCAACTAAGTTGCTCGGACTCGGGTGCGGTGTCCGATACGGGTGCGGATCTAGAGGTCGGATCCTTCATGGTCTAAATTTTGAGATTCAGGGATACGGATTCAGATACGGGTGGGGGGATTCGGCTAAAAATAATTCAAATATTTAAAAATAGAGTTAAAAAATGTCTAACTTATGAGACATTCTGGGGAAAACTTAGGTATTCCGAGAAGGAGAAAATATTGAACAAGAGGTGAATCCGAGAAGGAGATAAAATGAAAAGGACTGAGATAGAAATTTCTATGTACAAGGTATTCCGCTTTCTTCAATAACACCCTAGCTTTTGTTTTGTTTTCAAAAATCATTGTATTTGTGCCGAATTTCCGTGTCAATTTTGGTCAAAGTACCCAAAATCGGTAATTCGGTACGGATCCCACACCCACGTTGTGTCGACATGGGTATGGCACCGAAAGTGAAGAGTCGGAGCAACTTAGCCACCCACTACTACCATACAGGAATCCCAAAGAAATACAACCTAAACAAACACCACAATGGCACAACCTATAAAAAGTATTCGTGAAATGTTGGTAAAAATGTTCCGGAAGTCATCAAAGAACCATGTAGTAGCTTCTGGACAAATGGTGTGGCAGGAAGTTGCAAATACATAAATAGTACATAGGGCTTTTAAAGCAAGAAGTGAGATCTATTTTTTACGTTGAGAAATGTTCATTGGTCGATTCATTATTGTATGGAACCTATATTATCTTTCTCTGACTTTCAGGCTAGAGACTCGCTTTCCCCATTAATGAACTTGTCTTCCATCATTAAGAAGATAACCAATGAGCGACAACTGAGTGGAATAAGAGATAACATCAAAGACTGCACAGCCAAACTACTCCAATTTTTTGATACGACCTGTTTGACTAGGACAAAGATAAACCAGCCCCGGATTTGAAAAAAGGGAGAAAAAGGATTAAGACAAAAATAGGAGGGAAATTTTATTTTTCTTTTCTACCAAGTAGGAGGGAGCTTTCCTTTTCAGTTAAAGTACAGGAAACATGGAGAACTGAGACCCCATTTAACTAAATGTTTTGTAATATCAACAAGGTCCTTCAAGATAACGAACAAAATAACTACATATCAGGCGCTTAGTGTCGAATAACAGTCGCACCTTTCATTTTCTCCAAATAGATGCAGAAGTAATACTAGTAAATTCTCCCCTTCCTCTCCTCTCACTATTCTTTTCTCCTGCATATCGCTTCCTTTTCTACGAGGACTCTTTAAAACCAAAAAATCCATAACAAAGTTTAACATTGATCATTATGTGAGAATTCGATAGATAATTGCATTAGGGTTGAATCCATGAAAGAAGTGGAAATGCTTTCAAATTTTGGAAGTCCCTGCTTTTTCCTACCTAGACTTCGGGGACATTTGACAGAATCAGATCAAATGACTGTGGTATAAGCCTCTCTAATAATCTTTCAATACTTCTTCAGTTAATACGTTCCTTGTATTAATAGTCGGGACTGTAAAACGTGTCATCTAATTCTTAAGACACAGCGAATAAGAGTTGATTGATACTTGTAGGAATAGAGACGGAGAACATGATTCTTATATTTACCAAGCAGTGTGAACAAATGCCAAATACATAATATCAATATCCTTACTGAACAAGTAGACAAAAACAGAACTAGAGGGAAATAACTAAAGCTGCAGCAGGCATACCGTAATTGGAGAAGAAATTATACAGTCGAAAGTTAGCAACACAAAAGGAAAGAAATTGGAGATTGAAAGCAAGGTTCAGGCCATACATTACAAAGCAGAACCCACAAGGAGTTTTGGAATTCTTATCCAATCCCATCACTATCTTTTTAATCTCTCCAGCACGAGAGAACAGCTCATACACTTGTTCCTCTGTTGTGTAGAAGGACATGTTCCCCACATAAACAGTTGTCGACTTCAGCAAAGCATCTTCAAATTCTTCCTGTGTTCCCGGAAACCTTCTATCCCTATATGCTGAAATCTTGGCTAAATCCTAAAAGAAAAAAATAAGATAAAATATTAAAAGATAAAAGCAAATAAAACCTAGATTAAGAAAGGACATAGGACACCTCGGACACCACAATCTCTTTATGTTAACAATTTATGAAATGCCATTGGATATGCAGGAAACTGCACTTCAGTGTTGTTAAAGGCTCGCTTAAAGCGCGCCTAAGCCCCGAAGCTCAGTGAAGCCCAGGTTGTATTCACTTAATTGGCGCTTTAGTGTAGGCGTCAAGGTGTTAAGCGTGTGCACCTTCACCTATGGGATCTGTCTTTAAGGGCAGAACATCATACATATAGCTTGATAATAGTTTTCCGTTCTTTTGTCCAAATAATTATTATTTGTGTTTATATTTACATGTTTTTGCAATACATTTCGGGGTTTTTTTTTCACTCTTTAATTGCGCTTTGCGCTTAAAGCTCCAACATACTTTGGAGTTTTTGCGCTTTTCGCTTTTGACTACTCTGCTGCACTTAGTTAACATTATATTAAAATAAAGAAAGGCATAGATATATCTTGCTTCCTAAACTACAAACTTTCGAGTTAAATCAGGAAACCATCACTGACAGACTGAAACATTAGCTCCTCATAACACCAGGGTTTATGCGAGTTACACGTCAAAGTGTCCATGCAAAAGGTGTGTTTGATTCTCACTACACCCTTCCCGAACCGCCCTCTATAACAGAGAAAGTCTAAGAATAAAAAAGGTGTTACCTCCTTTGGATGAGAAGCTATACAAGGATTAAAGCACTAGTAACTAGTGCAGATAGTTATAACATTGTTCTTTAAATACTCCTTCAGAGGTTGTTCTTTTCACGGGGGGAGCAGCCCACAGCCCCCTAAACCCTTCCCCCACCCCCACCCCTACCCCCACACCACCGACCAGAGTTAGCACAATCCATCAAAACACAAACAAAGATACAACATAAAACATTAAATCAATAGAAAAATTGCTCATTGAACAACCATCACATGTATACAGCACAAGTGAAAAGCCAAAGAGCACTGAGGCGTTCATATTACCTTGAACAGAGAAGCCATTCCGTTTTGCTCCAAACTATATCTCCCACTTTGGATCTTTTGCGCCGCCTAAAAACTGCAAAATTCTACTTTCGGTTAACAACCAGCATTATGATTAGACTGAACAAAGTTAAACATTAGTTCAATAGAAAAACATTACCAAATTATAAGTGAAACTGGTAATAAGAATATACAGTAAAATGAGAGCAAATGAAAAAAATACCCAAATCATAAATTCATATTTCGCCGATAAAGAACCATTGGAATACCAAACAAAAAGGTAAATTTTATGCACTGCCCGTAAAACTTTGATATTTTTGTTTCATGACAGAGAGAGGGGGAGGGGGAGGGGGGAAGCGGAGAACTTACAAATTGATTTCGCCGGAGTCTCTCGGCCGACGAAGAGGAAGTTAAAATATATTGGGGGCCCAGGCCCGAATCAAACTTAGAGTGTGGTTAAAATATCATGGTATAGCCAGTTTTCATACTGGTCAGCGTTCCACTATTTTGCTGTAACAGGGACCGGTCCAGTATAATATACGGGAGTTCTGTTATATTTGTCTACGAACTCCAGCATATTATGCTGGACCGGTATACTTTGCTAACTCCTGTAAAATTTGCGGGAGACTGGAGCACCAGTGCTCCAAACTCCAGTATATTATACTGGACAATTATACTTGCTGGAACTCCCATAAAATTTGCGGGAGTTCCAGCATAATTATGCTTGAACTCCCGTAAAATTTGCGGGAGTTCCAGCATAGTTATCCTGGAACTCCCGTAAAATTTACGGGAGTTCAAGCATACTTATGCTGGAACTCTCGTAAAATTTGCGGGCGTATTTTTCCGGATTTTGAACAGTGTTTTCGTTCAAATTTAAAGTGGCTAAATTTCGATGACTTTTGAAACTTGACTATTTTTCAACGACCAGTGGTAAATCTGGCTATTTTTGAATTTCTCCCTAACTGTCCACCTTCCACTTTAATTGGGCCGGCCCAATATTGTTTTGGCTGGACAGATTGACAGCAACGGCCCACAAGGGGCTGATCTTAGCTGAATGTCATCAAAATTATTGGTATTTAATAAAGGAAATTTTGCCCCCTATAGCAAAAGTTTACACCTTATTTATTATAAATCAAAATCCTTTTAAAATATTATTTTCTATAATTATCTTTTATTTATTTTAACAAAATAGGTATTTATGGTATACATTACCATTAAGGCATTAAACTATGTACCATTTTTCTCTCATTCTTTCAGTTATTCTCTGCCAAAATCACAATCACAGGAAAATATTTCTTCTTTCGCTCTCCACGATCTCTCTCTCACAGCAAGATTGTATTCACGATTTTTGAAGAACAATTCTCTCACGACACGTTTTTGCTCCAAAAATTCGTGGTAAGTATTAAAGTTTTTGGGATTTTGGCTGGTTCAAGCTTCTTCTTTTTCTCTTCACTTTTTTTTTTTTTAAAATCTTCACCATTGTCATGTTTTCAGCAGAAAACTTCAAATTTCCTCTTCAATGGTTGATTCAACAACTTTGAAACAAGAGGGCCACTGCAGCTTTCTTCTACGCTGGATATTGCAACAGGTTACTCTACACGGATACTGCAATATCTTTTATGCCGGAGAAGATTCGAGGAATGGGGTTTTTATTCGTCTCCATTTTTAGTTTAATACAATGTATACAATATTTTGCTTGGCCGGGAAATGCCATCTCCGGTGAACTTTCTTCTCTTCTTTACTGCTTAGTCACATACGACGATACAGATACATTGTATTCTGTACAAATTCACTCAAATATATTATATTTTTTCTTAAATATATTTTTTTTTGCTTTTATTTATGTATTTCAAAGGTTTATATTTTTTCAATACAACTGAATACATTTGTATTCATGCATGAATACATATATAAATATTGAAATACACTGAATAAAAATATTAAAATAGATCAAAATATAAACTATCAATAAATTTAATTTTAAAATATAGGGAATACCGTAAAATACACTGAATACAAATAGAAATATAGTGAATACAGTCAATGAAATATACTGAATACATCAGTAATAACATGTATTAGGAATAACTAAAATACTGTTAATAAATACATTTGAATTCACTAAATATAAAATAGCGAATACAGTAAATGCAAACATTGAATCTAATAAATAAAACAGTCAAAAAAATATTAAAACACACTAAATACAGAAGTTATATACAACCGAAAAATCATTCTAATTAATTGGGTTGATAATGAGGCATGTTATAATTGATTTTGTTGAGTTATATTAGGAGTATATCACGCTAATTGATATTATTTCCATTATTAGACAGCTGGACATACCTATTTTTAAGGTGATTGTCGTTACTGTATTCATGAATGACGCGAATATATGTGAATACATTTGCGTACAGCTTTACTGCCCTGATTTTAGGCGCTTTTTACTGCTATATTCATGAATACAGCAACACTAATACATGTGAATACATGCGCATACAGCTGGACTGCCCTGATTTAGGTATTTTTTGCTACTGTATTCATGAATACAGCAGCGCGAATACAACGAATACACTACCGTAACAACTGAATAGTAGCTATAGGAAGTAATTATGTATATGGTAGCTATAGGAAGTTAATAGCCACTAAACAATAGTGGTTTCTGAAAATTCCTCTTTTATAAATAGCTTTCGAATATTTACACAACTCTTTAGGAATTTCTCTACCATATTAAATTGTTTATCAAAGTCTACCCGATTGTCATACTTTTGATCTTTAGGATTTTTCTATCGGATTGGTAGAGTTGATGCTACAGTATCTTTTCTTATTTGTTAAGTTGTTCATCGAAGTGTATAAGATTGTCATACTTTTGCTCTTTAGGATTTCTCTACCGAATTGGTGGAGTTGATGCTATATTATCTTAACCTATTTGTTAAGTTGTTCATTAAAATCTATCCAATTGGCATACATTTTCTAGGTTGTTTTAATATAGTGTTTTTCGAATTTGCAACTTAATTTGATCAAATCGCCCCAAATGTGATCCAAATGATTTCAAATTTGAAATAAAGCTTTCAAATACCAAAACAAACAATTCACAATCATCAATTTAGTCAAATAACACCAAATCGAAAAGACTCATTTTATCTTCTTCCGTACTTTCTAAAATCCAATAATAAAGGTTTGAGATTTTTACAGTAAATCACCAAATTATACGTTTGAACTGAAATTTTAAGCACAAAGCATCAACATCCAAAGGATTAGCTTCTATTTCTCACCACGAAACAAGAATTTGTTTTAAAAATTAAAAAAATATGCTGTTTAAGTTAAAAGCGGGGATATTTGTTAAGACCAGTCAAAAAGAGATATTCCACGAAGACCAGTCCCTTTGGGGAAAATGCCGTGCAATTGTTTGTTTTAGCTGCCGCAGAAATTAATCATATTTTTAGTTTGATAAAATAGAAGTGTTTGAAATTGTTACTTGATAAATAAAACGTGAGATAATTAGTTCGCTAGAATCTCAAAATAAACTATAAGAAGTATTACTGTACTTTTTTGCATTGTCGGAATGAGGTTTTTTTTAATTTTCTTTTTAAAGAAAGATGTCAAGTTTTTTGAGAGGGAGCAAAAAAGAAAGGAGGTTGGGTTTATAAGAAGGAACTGATTATAGTTTATTTTCTTCTATTTCTTTTGTTAACAAGGAAGAGATGCATTAAGTAATTATTTAATTTAACAGACTAGGATTTGAAGGGTAAGAGAACTTTTAATTGTCGAATAATTTAAGTTGCTAGATTTGGTAAAATATTATGTCTCTTTTTTTATAAGATGTCTCTGATGGGATACTAAAAATAATAAGTTGAAGTTTAGTAAATAGCAACATGCATTGCCAAAACAAGAATAAGAGACTGATGTTTTTAATCCAAGTGGAGAGATCAAACTCCAGAACATATCTTAGTCACACTCACAAGCCATTCGAATCATCCAATTGTAGCGAAGTACGATAAAAAGGTCGACTCTGCAGCGATAATTGCAAGCTCAATAAAGTAAGAAAGTTTTCAAATTGCATGCTATATACAATATTCCAACACAGAAATAAATTGGAAGACAAGCATAACGTTAATTTGATTTACAAGACTGTACAAGAAGTTAACATTTACACGCTTTATTCACAAGTCACAACCAATCCTGTTGAAAGCACACAGCTAAAACAGTCTTCAAAGAGCCTTTAGAACCATTTTGCTTGTCTTGTGAACCCCTTTGGCAGCAAGTCTAACAATAGATCGGCTCTTGTACAACCTACAGAAACAACAGGTTGAGTCACTGTACCTCTATGTCCTAACAAAAATGCCAATTCCTTCAAAATATAGTTCATGCATGGTCAAGTCAGATGCATTTGATGTACAGAGATCAAAAGAACAAAATCTGCAACAAACTCTCTCTAAAGATATAGTCTGATCATGTTTACAAATTGGTCAAGAATTTGAAGCCTCAACTGTGAAAGCTAAACTAACAGATCTACATAATTCAACCAAAAGTTCTGTATTGTTACACAAGGTCCTAAAATATCCAAGAAATTTCACAGATCACATTCACATATTTCAATTGAAGTTCTATGGAAGTCGTCGATGTTCCAATCCAAATACAAAAATTTCTAAAACATGCAAGACCAGAAATATGAAAAATTAGAATGGAAAACATGGTCAGTGAGGCCACCCCAACTTATTTAGGGGTTTTTGTTGTAGTATGTAAGATTAGAAACACAGGGAACCAAAAAATAATAAATGAGTACTCACCCCACTAGAGCAAGTCCCCAGGTGGAAAGGACGTAGAACGTTTGTGCTGCATGCCAAATGTTGAACAATTTTTCTACTTTACCTGTGCCTTCTAATGCTTTTGTCAAGGCTGTAAGTCAAGTTGAAGACCACATAATAAGATGATGCTCAAGTAAAGATCATAAACACACTATGGAAAATAAGAAGGAACGATCAATCAAGTAACCCAATCAACCAATCAATCTCCTCTAACAATCATTCAAGCAACCAATCTCTAACAATCATTCAACCAATGAATCTTCTCTCATCAAATCTATTTCTAATTCTAGCACTTAACCAAAAAGGTTCTTTTTCTCTGCTCCCTCTCGAACATTTTGAATGCAATTCTCTAACAAGACAGCATAAATCTCATAGATCTGGAGCTATTGTACACCACATAATCACCAAAAAATATGAAAATGGATGGCCAAACATTATCTAAAGGAAGGCTATCAGAAGTAACCTATCACTTAAATAGTTATTCCTAACAAGCATTTGGTTAGATCCAGCATTAAATCTTGAGAAGGCTCCCCACCTAAAAACATGTCCATGGCTATACATGTAAATGTCCATT